CACACACACAACTTCTTGGGAGGCAACACTATTTATTGTTAACTCAACGTAATACTTTACATAGGGTGGTGACCACCGACCTATTCTCGCTAACACACACCATCAGCTAGCATGACCAAGCCAGGAGGGCTACTCGCTGGTCACGCTGTCCTGAGGCTTGACTCTTCTTCACGAGGCGTCTTCACGAGGCATCTTCTTTCTTGACACGAGCAGCCTCAAACCCGGTCACGCCCACCTTCGAGAACTCTCGAGAAGCTCCTCAGCTGTCCACCTGGCCCCCTAGTTGGCTCCGGGGCCCCTGGCCCCCACATTGATCCAATCACGTGTCCAGTCAGATTCACTCAGAGTGTTACAACCTCTCACAACCCCCGTGGCCCTCAACCACGGCCTCCAGATCCCCTGAACCAGCCCCGACGTCATTCCAGCCTCCAGACGGGATGACGTCATGTGTTTGTGTGAAGACCCGCGTGGTAGTGACGCTCCCCCGCATAGTGACGTCACACGTGTGCGTGTGTGTTTACACAGTAGTGACGCTACAAATCACTACACAAGGAAATAGCTCAAGATTCCAGGATGGGTCACGGGAGGCTACAGACAAATTCCATCTCGGATGCCACAATGACATTCAAGCAACTCGTCACGTTGGGGTAATACAACTGAGATGGAGTTACAGAACATCATGACATATCTACAAATACACCAACTACTTTTTATTTTACCAGGTACAACCCACTCAGCTTTGTAGCTCTTTTTCAGAAGCAACTGGGCACAAATGATAGCACAATGAAGTGACGTATCACGTGGAAATGTATGGTAGCCAAGTACTCTAAACACGTGATGTTGATTATAAATGTGAAGGGAAAAACCGGAGGACCCAGAGAAAAATTCATGCGACCACGCAGAGAGAGAGAGATGCAAACTCTAAATATACAGCAAGCGTCAAATAAAACCCAGGTCCTCCTGTACACCAGGTGAGGGAGATAACATCTCCCCACTGTGGCACCCAATCCATTGCTGTCTTACCATAGACACCGACTTGTGCACTCAGCTGTGGAAGGATGAGTCTATCTCCCGATACTCATCTCACGAATGAGCTTTCGCAACTGAGCCTCTGATTTACATTAATATCAACCATAAATTATTTCTTCAAGTGTTCTTTTTCATTTCATGTGTTTCTTTTTTTTAAAGAGTAGATTCCTTTGACATATTTTGTTCATTAAAGTTAAATTACAATAGGTGTGCACATTAGCCGTGTGCATTGTATTTGTGCACATAAGATGCAGGTTCACATTCCAAGCAGTATCTCATAACGTCAATAACGACAATGAAAATGTTTTAAGGATTTTACTTCCATCTTCACCATCGCTATGTGAGAGGTCCTGATCCAGCATCTCTCTGAGCCACACAGCGAGTGATCCGAGCAAAGACAACCACCCTTGCCTCCAGCCTGCTCATTCCACTCCAATAACTTCTTACTCCCAGCAGGCGCTGCAGCTCCACTGCAGTGTTCGTTAATGGGTCTCCACAAGTTCCATGGTTCCTCTGAGTAGGACGTAGAAACTAGTTCTGTTATGTGGGTCTGTGCACGTATGTGCGTTTACGTCAGTCTAGGTTGGTGGCCATTCTCGTAGCCTCTATACTCACAATATCTGGAACTATCCAGGGAACGTCACCTGTCCACTGCCTAATACGTTGTTAGAACCCCCCTCATCAACTCTGCCTCGGTAACCCCCTTGATTTATTTCTGATTGTGACCAGGTGGGTACGTAAATAGGTATTCAAAGTTTAACCTGCCGAGAACTGGAGAGACCAGAATGAGTCTCATCTGCAAGCGTTAACCGGTGCAGGAGTCTGCCAGTAGCATGCAATGATTGCAGCTGCTGTGTGCAATCAGAATTTAGATAAATCTCACCGTGGTGGTGAGATGTTAACTCCCTTGCCTGGTATGCACGAGGTCATGGGTTCGATCTCGACCCTGACGCCTGTATATTTGGTGTTTGCATGTTTTCTCTCTTTCCCCCTGGTCATGTGATTTCCTCCTGTATTCCCCAGGGTTTTTGCTCCATATTTAGAATGAACAAATGCTCAGAGTAATTGACTGCTGTAAATTTTGCACATTATAAGCATTCGTTGTCCTCTCATAGCCAGGTTGCTTCATAAAAATAGTTATATATAATATAAATATAGCTATATAGCTCAGTGGTTCTTACCTGGTAAAATAAAAATGGGAAATAATTTCCGGTGTTATTTTTGGAATTTGGAAAAATGACATTCGCGCACAATGGGACCTACATTTCCGAGGATGGTGAACGTCGACTGTACAGTAGACAGAGCAGTGATGGTGACAATATCGCCCTCACTAAAGTAGGCATCGGTGCACGTTACAGCAGGACAGAAACGGTATTGAGGGCATAGAAAAACAAAAATGGAAAAAATCTCGTCACGACCTCAGCGGCTATCACCGAATGGGCAAAATAAAGGGAAACCATATGCAACGAATATATAGCGTGAAAGAGATATACTTCGTAAATAAAATAAATACAAACTAGAGAAACCGTTTAAAACATACAAATTGGTGCGATTGGTGGGCAATTTGTCTTTGTTATAACGACATTTGCTCCCATCATGTCACTCTGTGCTCCTTAACGGATGTAATTTGATTTGGCACAAGCTGAGCCGACTTGTTTTTGGCCCCTATGCAAGTTAACCACGCATTGCACGACCACCATTTCCAAAGCAGTGAGGATGGCCCGTGGTAAAACGTCAAATATTTCACCTGGGAAATGTCCCCCCCCCCCCCATATGGAACATCTCATTAACAAGAGAGGGTGTCCAGGGTGCAGATTGACGCGTGGCAAAAAAACGATTGGGCATCATGGAAAACAAAAAAAAATGCCTCAAAAATGCAACCCATTAACCTGATTGCAAAAAAACACCCCCATACAGAAAAACAGGTGTCGCCAGTTATCACTCGTACAACGCATTCCACCTGCTGTTGCCTGAGCTCAAGACTGATCCGGTTCGGTCAGGAAGCCACTGGAGCTATGGGCCTTTCAAATCATAAAAATTTACAGACTAATTTCTTTAGAACTGCTTCTGAGTTGTGTTTAGTTTGTTGTCCTTCCCCTGCACCCCCGATTAGCGCTGTTGGCTAGGTACGATGTGAAAGACGTTCCAAATGTATGTCTCATTCACATGCATTGTGGCGGCAACTCTGAAAATATTTTTTTTTACCGAATTTGAAGAAAAATGGCCTTGTTATTTTGGTTGGCGACCCTTGTCAACTGTAGGTAGAGGCACCGCCCCGGTCTCTCGTGGCAGGCAGAGAGTTGGCGAGAGTCAGGCCTCCAACGACAAAACTTGCCCACATCTGCCAGCCGAGGCGCCCTTGAGAAAGAACTTCCTTAACTCAGTGGGCTCTAGTCAGAGAAGTAAACTTTTGTGAAAGAGTGAGCGAGTGGGAGGATGATTTAATGAGTGTGTGGGTGTTATAAGTGGGTGAGTGGGTTAGTGAGTGGTTGAGTGAGTGGACAAGTGAGTGTGTGAGTGCTTGAGTGTATGATTGGGCCAGTGAGTGGGTCTTTAATGAAATAATGCTTTGATGATGTCTGCTGGAAAATTAAACCATGAAACAGAATTTATTAGCTTAAAGGGCTCTACTCCGGGAAGTACACTTCTATACTCTTTGGTTCTTTCGGTTAAGTCACGTAGGTATAAAATAAATCACGACGTTTTGGGCGCAACACAAGCGTCCGTCATCAGGTGGTGATGACGGACGCTTGTGTTGACGGACGCTTGTGCTGCGCCTGAAACGTCGTGATTTATTTTATTTTATACCTACGTGACTTTACCGAAAGAAGGAAAGAGTATGGATTCCAGCAGTCACGAAAGCTTCAAATCAAGAAAACTTCTGGTTGTTCTGAAAGCCTTCAGGAGAGGCCGTCAGGCTTTTATAGCTGCCACGACGTCTGTGCATCGCACCACGCTGTGCCTCAACACGCCCGAGGAGCAGCGTGGTGTGATGAGCAAAGACCGGAGCGCTTGGGGAGGGGAGGGGCTGTGGAAAAATGGATGGAGGACGCGTGTTTAATAGCTGTGCGTGTGAATGTGAAACAACGCAGGTGAAATAAAGAGTGGGTGTGGCTGTGAATGATTGGAACGGGGATCTGCAGTCTCGGACAAGGTGAGAGATGGTGACATCACCACCAGGTAGAGTTGGTGATAGATTCACACAGCTAGCAAAAGGCTCCAGATTCCTGGATGGGTCACGGGAGGCTACAGACAAATTACATCTCAGATGCCACAATGACATTCAAGCAACTTGTCACGTTGGGGTAATTACCCGAAGATGGAGTTACAGGACATCATGAGATATCTACAAAGACACAAACTCTTTTTAATTGTACCAGGTAAAGCTCACTGAGCTATGTGGCTTTTTGTCAGAAGCTACCTAGCTATTACAAATGAGAGTACAATGAAGCGGTTTATGTGGAAATTGATAGCAGCCAAATACTCTAAACGCGTGATGTTGATTCTAAATTTAGAGGAGAAAATCGGAAGACCCAGATACAAATTCACGCTATCAAGGGGAGACAGAAAGAGAGAAACAAACTCTAAATATAAAGCAGCCATAATGCGAGGGAGATAACATCTCCTAGAGACCGTGGCATGCAATCCATTGTTCTGTCGTACCATAGACAGCAAATTGGACGCTAAGCTTTGGAAAGATTACTTTATCTCTCGATACTCATTTCACAAATCAGCCATCGCAACTGAACCTCTACGACTTATATTAACAACTCATTTCTTTAGTTCCTTTGATACATTTTGTTCATGTAGCGGTGTGTACAGTAGCCGTATTCACCTCGAGGCTGCTGTTTGCGCACCTCGGGGCGCGGGTTCACATTCCATGCAGTCTCGTGATGTCAGTGACGACAATGAAAATATTTTAAGTATTTTACTTTTTTCTTCACCGTCACTATAAGAGAGACGTCCTGGTCCAGCGTCTCTCTGAGCCACACAGCGAGCGATCTCAGCGAAGCCCATGGGTCATGGCGAGCGCGACTCCCAGTGAGAGTGTGGATAGTGAGCTGCGCTGCCCCATCTGCCTGGACACGTTCGTCTGCCCCTGCACGCTGAGCTGCGGACACTCGTTCTGCCTCCGGTGCCTGGAGACCGCCTGGAAGACGGCGAGCAGCTTCAGCTGCCCGCAGTGTCGAGCACTCTTCCCTATGCGACCCCAGCTGGAAAAGAACGTGGCCCTCGACAACCTTGTGGAGCAGCTCAGAGTTGGAGAAGGGATGGCCTTGGCCATCGTGTGTGACAACTGCAGGGACGGCCACACTCCTGCAGTGAAGACCTGCGTGAGATGCGAGACATCGTACTGTGCGACACATTTGAGGCCTCACTTGGAGAATTCCAAGCTGAGAGAACATCTCCTGGTGGCTCCCATTGCAAACCTGGAGGAGAGAAGGTGTCGGGAGCACAGAGAGGAGCTCATTCTTTACTGTGAACAGGACAAGATTCCGGTTTGCCCAGTCTGCCCCGTCGCAGGAGACCACTCCGGGCACAGAGTCATCACAGTGGAAAAAGCACAACAGACAAGACAGGTGAAGTGTCATGTTCCGTTGTTATCCACATTGTTACAGGAGGTTGAGAGATTCACATCAGTGGGTCGTGACCCCTCACCTCCACCAGGTGAGCCCCTGTTAAGACCAAACGCCCCTTTATAGGGAGACCCAGGGAGAGGTGGCAGGGTCGCTCAGATGTCAGAACGCTGAGTTGGTAACGCTGTAATACTGAGTTGGAATCTAGTCGGCCTCCCATGGTTTAAACTGGATTCCCAAGTTTAGAGAGTTGATGGTCTAAGCCGACTCAACATTTGACATCATGTGAAATCATATTTTGCGTGAGATTCAAAATCTTAGTTTGACGAAGTTACTATGTATAGTAGGGCGTGTGATAAGCCACTACATCCATCACTGGAAGAGGTTTAAAACATATCATAGAACTAGTTGTTCGGGGGCGCCTGTGGCACCCCTCACAAAAGCATTTACTGCCTTCGGCCAGGAAAGTCACAAGATTTGTACACGAACGACGCATTCCTGCAAGCATCCGATGCTCCGTTTAGAAATGTTATCTTATGTTATTATATTATTCATCATAGAAAGATAGGTAAAGTTGTGTGCTTACCAACGCAATGGAACGTCTGTCCCTGCGACTTGTTGATTGTGATAGCGTATGCGGGGAAAATGGGAAATTGTCGTCGTCATTGCAAGACAAATGGCAAAGTCGTGTCGGTGGGGGCCAAGTCGATTCTGGGAATCGATTCTGGGAATCAACACCGAATCGCCTCGTTCTGCAGACCGATTCCAACGTAATCGCGCCTCTGTCGTTCAAACCGACGCGCCCCCTGCATGAAAACGACGGGAAGTGCAGCATTCATCACAGATAAAGTTAGACGTTTATTTATATAGATTGAATAGATAGATGTATGTGATATTTGTCAATGATGTTGTCTAACAGGATATTGCATTGCTCTGCAGTAGTTCAGTTGGATTCTTTGTCTCAATACATGACATGGACAGTGCAGTCGATATACAATCGTGGGAAAATTAAAATAAAAAATCGAGACGTATCCAGAAATATGACAACAGATGTATGTGTTTAAGTTTAACTTCTTTCGTAGACAACCGTGTTAATCAGAGATGCAGGATGACGATGATATATCAGTGATCCACCAATGGCAATGGTGAGCACCGCGTATTTATTTATTTATCTACCAAAACGCAGGAGGAGCTCAGAGTCAAGAAGGAGGGGAGAGAGGAGAAGAGGAACACGGCGGCGTCACGGACACGGACACTCAGGGACGACTACCGGCACGTGGAGGTACAGAAAGAGATGGCAGCCGCACAATTCCCTTTTCTGGTTTGCCTATGAATCGTATTTCATTAAACTTAGCTCTTATCATTGACGAACACTGCCCCATGCATTGGCGCGGGATACAACTTTAGTGAATTGCAATCTACAAAATGTAAATCTACAAAATAAACGCCATAAAACTCTAACAAGGCAAAGTGTGAGTTCGCAACCGTGTTTGTCTGTCAGCACTTTTTTTATAAAGCCCATTATTTGAGCGCAAAATATTTCTGAAACTTTAATCTTCAACTAAATATATTCCTTTGTGTATCTTTACACTTCAGGAAAAAAATGTGGGTACCATTACAACCAGTTTAGGACGGCCAGATTTGCAACACACGTTTACTACGTGAATAGAAGGCTTCCACGGTATGACACAGAAACTTCATTTACGACGCTACTTCCAACATGACAGCAGTTTTGGTTTAGGGGGGGTGGAATCGATCCATGCTGGAATATAAATTGGAGACTTGTCCTGTCGATTCCTTCATTGATCACAACCATGATGCTTGCTATGAACGATTGAGATTCCTCCTTTCTGGCTCACCCAAATCTGAATCACATCAACTTAGCCTGAGTGCAAGCGGAAGTGGACATGAGTATTACCTTCGAAATCAGCAGTGTTTGTCTATTTCAGCACCTTTTCATTTAAAACAATAGAGCAATGTGTAGTGTATTTGTTCTGTATATTCGCAGAAACTTTGACGCAATTTTCTTGGAATGTCCTCGGCAAGAAAATTGTTTCGGTTTAATGCGCATTTCAGTCCCATGCACTGTTTGGTAGATCCAGAGTGGGACGGACAGACAGACAGATCAGAATGATACCCGTAGAGATGTATTTCATTTTCCCCAGATAGACACTCGGCAACGTGTAGCTACAGACTTACGTATTTCAAATACTACCCTTGCCTATGATATTAACCCCTTACAGTATATCCCATTCTCATTCTCCCTGTGCTTTATATCTTCATGAGCTCCCGATGCATACGTCACCCACCTCCATGTACATAATCGAGGTATGATCACAATCATTGACACCACATTGCGTCATTACCTAATGAGTGACTCAACAACTCGGCACTGTCTGTGTAGGAGTCTCTGCGTGAGATCAAGGCACGGATCAGCCTAGAGTTTGAGTGCCGGAGAGAGCAGCTGAGGGAGGAGGAGAGGGAGGTGCTGGAGCGCGTGGACGAGGAGGGCTGCTCCGTGCTGTCCCGCATCCAGGCGGACATCACTCGCTACGAGAGCAGAGCACGCGGCCTGGAGCGGGAGATCAACCAGCTGCTCACCGCCCTCGCCGTGCAGGAGCCGCTCTCATTCCTGCAGGTGGCACCACCTCCATTCACTCGCCGTGGTGGCTCTGAGATGTTAACTACCTCGCCTGATATGCAGGAGGTCATGGTATCGATACCAACCCTGACTTCTGCTGTATATTTGGAGTTTGTGCCTCTCTCTCACCTCGTGGATGTGTGGTCCTCCGGTTTTTCCCTCCACATTTAGAATCACATCACGTGTTTATTGTAATTTGCTATAAATTTCCACACGATAATCCAATTCTTTTATTTTAAAATCTGGCAAAGTTACTTCTGAAGCAGAGCTATATAGCTCAGTGGGCCTTACCTGGAAAGGTATAAAAAAAGTATTTCTTAATAGTTTATACTCACAGCCTTGGTTTATCAGAGGGTTTATCTCCAACCAGCAGATGCACACCGCCCTGTGAGACGTTGACATTGTTTGCAATCTTATTTTATTGTTTTTCGATCTGGGAGCAAGCAGCGGTGTCCAAAAATAGACGCGCGTTTGCTTCCGTGTGACATTCTGACCTGGACTTGTCCAGTACAACATTGCCATTTACCTGGCCTGGTATGCAGGCGGTCATGGGTTTTACCCCGACTCTGACGATGCCTGCTGTAAATTTGGAGTCTACGTCTCTCTCACTCTGTGCACGCGTAGATTATTTTTCCAGGTCCTCTGGTTTTTCACTCCACATTTCGAATCAACATCACGCATTCAGAAAATTTAGCTGCTATTATAAATGTCCACATCAGCCAGTTCGTTGAGCTATCATTGTGATAGGCAGCTCACTACTGAACAAGAGTGACATGGCCAAGTTGCCCTATCCTGGTAAAATACCAAAGATTAGTTTATTCAGAGTTCAAAACACGAGTTGTTGAACGTTACTTAACAACTTGTTTACCTGCTAGACTAGATTTGCAAGGAGTGGCTTTGTCATGTGTTGGGGTACATGTCCAGTTTAACGAATCCTGTTTCGATGAAAAAAAATAAGAATAGGTATTATATGTTTAGAATTAAAGCTTTCGTGACTGCAGGAATTCATATTCCATGGTTCTTTCGGTAAAGTCACGTAGATAGAAAAAAAATAAAAAGATAAAAAATATACAATATAAAGAAATAACAAAAAACTCACGACGTTTCGATCTCAGCACATTCATATGAATTCCTGCAGCCACAAAAGATTTAAGTCAAAATTTAATAATGAAAGGCTTAACAGTAAAAGCACACAGATTACTCTATTTTTCATCATTCTCTGTTTGCTGGTATTTATTATTTCCTTGATGTTGCGCTCCACCATACGCAGCAGGTGACTGTGTGGAGGTGTGGCATCTGTTTAAGATGTCAATGTTAATGTGAAATGCGGGTTTATGTTTTTCAGGATCCCCTGCATGAGAGTCTCAGGTCAGTACTAACCCATACTCAAAATCTAGCTTTGTCTTCCACCTGGTGGACAAATCAGTGAACGGTCGTGATGTGATTCCATAAAACCCCATTGAAACGCAGTTGTATTCCGTATTGTCCTTGTGTCGAGAGACATGGACCTGCACAAGACTCTGAGTGTCCCGTGCTGTGTGAGTGGAGGGACTGCACCCTGCATAGACTATGCGTGTCCCGTGCTGTGTGAGTGGAGGGCAAAACAACCCCCTGCCTCCTTGTGGTGCCGGATGGGCAACGCTGTCGTGGGCAGTGCCGTGGGGGGAGGGCCAATTCCGGTTGGCCTTTCCCTTCATGGCATTTGTAACCAAGACAGTGGCTAAATGTGGCCTCTGGATGGATGCGAGGGGCTGGTAACCCCTCCACCTTTAATGAATTACCACTAAACCACGACCACAAAATGTAATAAACGAGATTGTGCCGTAGGCCCTGGGGGGACAGGCGTCTATGACGTCTCCTGGCTAAACCCCATTTGGCGGAGCCTGGAGACTGAATCTTTATCCTCGGGGCTTCTCCAGTAACAACAAAAAACCACTACGTGTGGCCACGTGTAATATCCTAACGCTCACTGTGGAGGAGAGGCTTTCACTCCTCTGTCGGAAGCTGGACCGGTACCGCCTGGATCTCTGTCATATTCAGGAGGTCTGGTGGACCGGCTCTGGCTCCTGCTACCATGAGGGGTGGACAGTTCTCTACTTGGGGCAGGAGACTGCCAAACAACAGGGTGTGGCTCTTCTGAATAAAAGAATGAAGGGAGCGTGGGAGCATGGCGGTGAGGTGTGGGAAGCTGTAAGCCCTAGGCTACTTTGGGCTCGCTTTCTCATCAACCAGAGGCGAGGAGTGGTGGTCATGGTTACTTATGCCCCCACTGAAGACGAACATCTGTGGAGGGATGCAGGCAAGGCCGATGAGTCAGATGCCTTCTATGACCTCCTGTCGCAGGTGCTAGCTGAAGTTGCGCCTCCAGTTAGAGTAATCTTGTTGGGTGACTTCAATGCCCGAGTTGGTCATGATGCTGGCACCTGGTCTGGAGTAATTGGAAGGCATGGGACAGATCATCTCAATAACAACAGAAGGAGGCTGCTAGATTTTTGTGCAGCCCATGGACTTGTATTTACCATCACGCTGTTCCGGCATCAGCGCATCCACACCACATCATGGATAAATTCCGTGTCCAAGCAAGAACATCTGCTGGACTACATAGTGATGGAACAGGCGATGCGGGCCAATGTCTTTGACATCAGGACCTACTGTGGAGCTGATCTGCCCACCGACCATCGACTTGTCATCTGTAAGATGCACCTGCAATTATTCCACTCCGGTGGTGGGTGTACACCCAGGAAGCCAACAAAACCCTTAGTCGCATGGTCTCAGCTAGCTGATGAAAGTTGCAAGCGAAAATTTCATCATCATTGCAGCTGGGGTTGGCATTGTCCCCCACTCCTCCTGATGTCGAGGGGAAATGGGCGAGGTTAAGGACTGTGGCTCATGCAGCTGCAATGGCTGCTTTGGGTACACGATCCAGACCTCCCAAGATACCCTGGTTGACAGAGGAGGTGTTCAAGCTGGCTGAGAAAAAGCGACAGGCCCACTCTCATCGGCTACAGCATCCCACTACGGAGAATGAGGAGGCTTAACACAGCCTTCGCTCGGAGGTTCGGAGAGCCGTGAGGTGCTGCAAGGATGGGTGGTGATCGCGGGTTGCTGAGGATATGAAGTCTGCCGCAGTGGCCCTCGATCACAAATCGCTCTTTAATTTTATCAAAAAGTAACCTGCAGAGCCACACCTATTACCATCATTAGAGGAAAAAATGGTGATCCAATCTCCGACCCCCAGGAACAGGTTTGCAGATTTGCTGAGCATTTCTGTGAGGTCCTGGGGGAGGGGAAATCCCTCAGCCAGAAAAGCAACGTGGGACGAAATGGGGATGACCCTGCTGAGTCTGCGGTGCCTCAAAAATTGGAGGAGGAAGTCACCCCCTGTGAGTGGCTGGCTGAGGTGCCATCTGTTAAGTAACTACTGAAGGCGATCCAGAGTCTGAGACCAGGAAAGGCACCGGGCAGAGATGACCTCCCATGCGAAATGCTGAGGGGAGGTATCGTTTGTGCACAGACTGCCCAACATGACATCATAACAAAAGTCTGGACCATTGTACGGGTTTCACAGGATTGGAAGAATGCCCTGGTGGCCCCCCTCTTTAAGAAGGGGGACCGCACAGACTGGAACAACTACAAGGGGGCATCTCACTCCCTCACTCCTCAGTGTGTTGGGAAAGGTCCTGGCAAGGATTATTCAACATCGCCTTGCCTGGCACGCTGAGGAGAGGCTTGCATGGCCACAGTGCGGTTTCAGGAAAGGGCGGTCCTGCACAGATGCCATATTTTATGTCCGTCTGCTACAGCAGAGGTGTAGGGAATTCCTACAAGACCTACATCTCTGCTTTATTGACCTCATCAAGGCCTATGATACCATCTGTAGGCCTGGGCTCTGGGTTGTTCTTCGTGCTTTTGGAGACCCTGACCCTCTGCTCACGATCATTAAGGACCTTCATGATGGTGAGCGGGCCCGGGTAAAACTACATGGCTGGGAGTCGGAGCCATTCTCTGTCTGTACATCGTGGGGTGCGATAGGGATGTCCTCTGGCTCCCACATTATTTAACATCTATTTTGACCACATAGTTTGTGAAGTGTTCACTAGCTATACCGGAGGAATTTCCATTTGGTACAGATACAATGAGAGGCCGATCGATGCCCGGGTGTGGTCAGGGGATGGCTCCCTATTGCTCAACCATGTTATGTATGCCGATGATCTGGTAATTGCTGCTCACTCAGAGAAGGAGTTGGAGGCGCTGCTGCTGAACCTGGAGCTTGCCACCAAGAGGGGGTCCTTACCATCAGCCCCACCAAAACCAAGCACCTGCCTGGGTATTTTGTACTGTCGGGCACTCCACCCCCACAACACCCAATCGGTGATTGGGCAGTTGTGGAGAGAGTGGAGAGTTTCCCATACCTGGGCAGTGTGCTCATGACCGGCTCTAATTTAACAGCAGAGGTCTCACTCCGAATAAGTCGAGCAGCATTCTTTCATCGGTTATGTAACGCTGTTTGGAAACTTGCTGGTCTATCACTCAACACAAAGCTTCAGGTCTTCTCGGCCACGGTCATTCCCTCCCATCTCTATGCTTGCGAAATGTGGACTCCCCTAATGGAACATCTTCGCTGGTTAGACACGTTTAGGCTTGCCAGCCAATGATCAATCCTGGGTTTAACCAGGCTGGATTGTGTGATGAGCTCACAAATCCTTGAAAGATGTGGACAAAGTCCCATCGGTGAGCTCCTCCAGCAGGCAAGGCTGCGTTCGCTGGGTCATGTAGCCCGCATGCCCAGCCACTGCATGCCTAAACAGCTTTTGTTTGGCCGGATCGAGGGGGCTAAATGGACGCAGCGCGGGCTAGAGCAGAGATGGAGTGATCTGGTACAGGAGGATGTGGAGCTGAGTGGAATTGCCGATGACTGGTACCAGCGGTGTCAAGATCGGCCTCTGTGGAGGAGGCTCGTGAAGGATGCTACTGGTCAGTTGGAGGCAGTGGCCCTCCAACAACAACGGTGGGCAGAGGAGTGATGCTCACAACCACGAGCAGAGCGCCGGGTGGCTAAAGCACAGCAAGTTGGCACAGTAGCGGGCACAGGTGGTGCATCAGCCAGCCGTCTCAATCAGTCGACCTGTACCATCTGGGTCTGCCCCGTGACCTCCTGCCAGCGGGCGTTCGACACTTCACGTGGCCCCAAGGTGCACATAGCCTGGCACAAAGCGTCATGGTGACGTCACCGCCACTTAGTGTTGTTTAGTGGAGGGACTGCACCCTCCATAGAATCTGTGTGTCCCGTGCTGTGTGAGTGGAGGAACTGCACCCTCCAAAGACTCTGCGTGTCCCGTGCTGTGTGAGTGGACGGACTGCACCCTTCATAGACTCTGCGTGTCCCGTGCTGAGTGCAGGAGCTCGGACTTGCAGGAGATCCAGGATGCGCCTCCTGCCACATTCAGTCACCAAGAGCTCACAGAGGTCATCTCGCTAGGAGGAGTGAATAAGAAGCGCATGGCTCTCGTGTGTGAGTCTCTGTCTGCACTCTGCACTTATCTCTGTCAACATCGTCCATGACAAACGCAGCGATGCAGACGGGCACCACTCGGTAGGCTGCTGCACGTTGTTTAAGTCAGGTGGCGTATCATTGGGGTGTGCATATTAAAAAATATATTTTATTTTACCAGGTAAGGTCTACTGAGCTATGTGGCTCTTTTTCACAAGGGAACTAGCCGCAAATGACAACTTAACTAAGTGGATTATTACGTGGAAATATATAGTTACAGCCAAATGATCTTAACTCATGACGTTGAGTCTAAATGGGAAGTAAAAAAATGGAGGACGCGGAAAAAAATCTGCGCGACCACCACGGGGAGATAGACACAAACACTCCAAATATACAGCAGCAGCAGGCATCAAAATCGGGGTCGAACCCACGACCTCCTGCATACCAGGTGAGTGAGATGACATCAGGCAGATCGAGAGTCAGCCCAGTGAGAAATACAGGCACAGCGACACAGAGTGAAACACTGCACATACAGTGCTGTTGGCGAGTAGCCATGACGGCCGGCACGGCACACGAGGGGTGGGTGGCTAACACCACACCCGGCAGTCTTTGTTTCGCTCGTGCCAAATGTTTACACATCACACCAACAGAGGGCAATGCAGCGTGAACCATTGTTGTACTGCACCTCTACGCTTCCAGGTTCACAATCCCCACCATCGCCAACGCGCACCGACGAGAGCGGTTAAGTATGGTCAAATAACCCCCCCCCCCCCCCAGGGCACGGGGAGGCGCTCGTCCAGCAGCGGAGCGACACACAATGTCTGTGTGTGGGTGTGAGAGTGTGCGAGGCTGTGACACACAATGTCTGTGCGTGGATGTGAGAGTGTGCGAGGCTGTGACACACAATGTCGTGGTGCTGGCATCATCACCACTGGTCACTACCACTGCACACACACCCATGGCCATGTTAGTTTAGTACTATTGTTATTATAAATTATTACTCACTAATTATTATTATTCACTTATTATTAATCACGAGTGATTAGCAGTATGTGTACATGTATACTAACAAATATTAGTATTTTATAAACTAAAACTAACAAATATTAGTATACGTACACAAATACTAACGAACATTAGTATGTGTATACTAATAGTAACGAATATTAGTATGTGTACACTATAATGAACGAATATTAGTATGTGTACACTAACACTAACGAATATTAGTATGTGTACACTAATACTAACGAATATTAGTATGTGTACAGAAATACTAACGAATACTAGTATGTGTACACTAAGACTAACTAATATTAGTGTGTGTACACTAATACTAACGAAAATTAGAATGTGTACACTAATACTAACTAATATTAGTGTGTGTACACTAATACTAACTAATATTAGTGTGTTTACACTAATATTAACGAATAATAGTATATATACACTAATACAAACGAAAATTAGTATGTGTACACTAATACTAACGAATATTAGTATGTGTACACTAATACTAACGAAAATTAGTAGATGTACACTAATACTAATGATTATTAGTATGTGTACACTAATACTAATGATTATTAGTATGTGTACACTAATACTAACTAATATTAGTGTGTGTACACTAATACTAACTAATATTAGTATGTGTACACTAATACTAACTAATATTAGTTTGTGTACACTAATACTAACGAATATTAGTATGCGTACACTAATACTAACGAATATTAGTATATATACCCTAATACTAACGAATGTTAGTGTGTGTACACAAATACTAACGCATATTAGTATATACACACTAATATTAATGAATATTAGTATGTGTACACGAATACTAACGAATATTAGTATGTGACACGAATTCTAACGAATATTAGTATGTGTACACTAATACTAATGAATATTAGTATGTGTACACGAATACTAACGAATATTAGTATGTGTACACTAATACTAACTAATATTAGTATGTGTACACTAACACTAACAAATTTTAGTATGTGTACACTAATACTAACGAATATTAGTGTGTGTACACTAATAATAACTAATATTAGTATACGTACACTAATACTAACGAATGTTAGTGTGTGGACACTGATACTACCGAATATTAGCATGTGTACACAAATACAAACGAATACTAGTATATGTACACTAGTACTAATGAATATTAGTATGTGTACACTAATACTAATGAATATTAGTATGTGTACACTAATACTAACGAATATTAGTTTGAGTACAATAATACGAACGAAAATTTGTATGTGTACACTAATAGTAATGATTATTAGTCTGTGTACACTAATACTAACGAATGTTAGTGTGTGGACACTGATACTACCGAATACTAGCATGTGTACACAAATACAAACGAATACTAGTATATGTACACTAGTACTAATGAATATTAGTATGTGTACACTAATACTAATGAATTTTAGTATGTGTACACTAATACTAACGAATATTAGTATGTGTACACTAATACTAATGAATATTAGTATGTGTACACTAATACTAACGAATATTAGTATGTGTATACTAAAACTAATGAATTTTAGTATGTGTCCACTAATACTAACTAATATTAGTATGTGTACACTAATACTAACTAATATTAGTATGTGTACACTAATACTAACTAATAGTAGTATGTGTACACTAATACTAACTATTATTAGTATGTGTACACTAATACTCACTACAGATGGACGCTCGCCGACTCTGGATACAAACTCAGCCCACGACGACCTCCAGATTTCCTCGGATCTCAGGACCGTGACGCGAAGCGATGTCCCCCAGCGTCGCCCCCATCACCCACACCGATTTGAGTGCTGTTACCAAGCCCTGTGCTCTGAGAGCTTTCCGTCGGGTCAGCACTACTGGGAGGTGGACGTGGGGAGCGCGAGGTGGTGTCGGGTTGGAGTGGCGTATGGGACGATCCCACGGAGAGGGAGTGGTTCTGAGTGCCGCCTGGGAGGGAGTGACGTCTCCTGGTGTCTACAGAAACGTGGCGACAGCTTCTCAGTGCTGCATGGCGGGGTAGAGACCTCCCTGTCGGTGCCGAAGCCTCCGGGGAGAGTCGGGGTCCATCTGGACTGGGACGCGGGGCTGCTGTCGTTTTACAGTGCCGACTCCATGGCGCTGTTGCACTCGTTTCACCAAACATTCACTCAGCCTCTACACCCTGGGGTGCTGATGGGGAGGTGGTGGTTGGGGGGGTTGTTGTACGGTAAAGTTGTTGCCTCAGTGAGGATTGTGGATCTGAGTGGTGCGTCTTGAGAGAGGTGAACGTGAACAGCGCAGAGGGCAGACGCCACCGACGCACGGCGCTCGCCACCCTCGTTAGTGGCGAGGGGCTGCGTTGCTCTCCATCACAACGGGGGGCCTGATCATAAACAATCCTCACAACCTTCACGGGGTGGGGGTGATAAAATAAGTACCGCTCTGTGTGTGTGATGCCAGCGTGGATGTATTCACCCTGCCAGAGGAGTGTGACTGTGGTGTAGGGGTGCAGTGATCAGCAATGGTGAACGGGGATGTGTTTGTACACTGGTGTTGTCATGAGTTGTGGGAGAGATACAACAACAAAAATAATATTATATTCTTTACGTTCTTTCGGTAAAGTCACGTAGATAAAAAAAAGATAAAAAAAACATAAAAATAAAATTTTTAGATGAAAAACCAAAAACGCATGACGTTTTGATCGCAGCAAGAAAATTTTAAGTCAAAACCATAAAATTATTGATTTTAAAAAGTATAAATGTACGCTTACAACAGAGGCATTGTAACGCTTGTATCGTCGATTCTACAATAAAAATACAGAACACAAACAACAACAACAACAATGTAGTTGTGTACAGCGTCATTCGTGCTGTTCATTAATTAAACACGAGGAGAAAATGCTCCACACAGCCACTGCCAAGCACATTCAATCTACAAATTAATAAACAAATAAAGAGATATCGACAAACACAAAAGGCGCAAACAATGTCCGAGCTGTTCAAGTCGTCTGCTGCTGCGTCACCACCCACGCTCCCCGAACGCGGTGACGTCACTACGTCACCCCTCCCCCTCTCCCCCCACGCCCGCCCCGGCATGTGGGGGGGGGGGGGGGTGATCACCACTGACGCTGCTGGGAACTCCCAGCGAGGGCGCCACGTGGCTCTGGTGCTCGCCAAGAGAAGGCGGTAGAGCAGCAACAACAACAACCATTACCACAGCCACCACCACCACAACAACCACCGCAACAAGCACAACAACAAGTACCACCACCTCCAATAACCATCACCACAACAACCATCACCACAAGAACCATCACCACAACCACCACTACACGTGAACTTCACCCAGTGACAGGGACTGGGAACTAAAAATAAAAATCGTCCCCGGTATTTAGTAAACATGCCGCACACAAATTCGAGTCACGGGCAGCAATAATTTATATATTTAGTTACATGTAAATATCTATTCATATATTTATATATATTTATTTGCCACAACAATGCTGTAGGAGGAATCCGATGAGCTATGAAGCTATTTTGTCACAGATAGTCCAGTAGTGGCACGGGGGTCAGAACGTTACACAACAAATACAAAACACAAACACGACAGGAGTACAAAACCCACTGAGCTATTAGCGTATTGTTTATAAATGACCAGGCTATCACGACAAAGTGGCTTACCACGTGGAAATGCATAGCAGCCAAATACTCTAAACGCGTGATGTTGATTCTAAATGTGGTGGAAGGAGGATCCGGAGAAAAATCCACGCGACCACGGCAAAGCAACAGACTCCACATACAGTGAGGGAACAAGTATAACCCGTAAAAACAAAGTTTTTCACTATAAATCCTTTATATGCGTGGCGGCTAGAGTCCTCTCGTCCTCTGGCTTGAGATGGCTGCCACCTATGGGTCAGATGATTGCATTGCACCATTAAGCAGTTTAACACGTAGGCTTTCGCGACCAATGTTATTCATAATCAACGATTTTTGGGTTTAGATCGCGTTTATTTATAAATGTGTCGTAACCCTCCACCACCCGACACGGCCAATCAGTAAAAAAATGTGTCACGTTGACAAAGACAAATAGTTCACTGCTTTAGCCCACCGGTGTGTTGAAGCAACAACATTCACAATTTGAGTACGACGTTTCGCTGGTAATTACAACCAGCATCATCGGGCAATTCGCCAGAATGGTGAGGCTCTCCTGTGTCTCCCGTTCTTATATAGAGCAGCAGCAGGATGACGTCATCATTAACTCATTAACTCATCAGGTGCAAAGATTCAAGGGGGGAGTGATTGTAATTATATACTAGATTAGTAATCAGGCTATTGTTACGATGCGAGTTGTAGATTAGTAATCATTTGGAATGTGTTTTATTGTGATTATGCTACATTAGTAATCAGTTAGTGGTTGTTTCCCTTATAAGTGTAATGTATCTTATTTCTAAAGGCCTTAACTTTGCCGTTACCCCACGCACAATTCCAGTGGATGAGATAATTGCTGAGGTAGAATCAGCAGTAAGACTCCTTCCACATAATGAGGCAGAGATGACTAGACACGAGGTTGCCAAAATGATTGAGAATAGTAAAGTACCTAAAGTAAATATTAGCTCGAACGAGGCAAAAGCCTTAAGAGAGCTTCGTCTAAACAAAGATATTCAAATCCTAGCAGCTGACAAGGGCCGCACTACAGTAGTGATGTCACGAGCCGATTATGATAATAAAATTAAAGATTTATTAGAGGAAAGTACCTACATTAAAATTAAACGAGATCCAACTAATACTTTGGAACGTAAGACTACTGCAATCATTGCAAATTCATTAATCCCAAAAAATGAGCAATTCCTAATGAAGCCAAGGGCTTCAAAACCACCTAGACTGTATGGGCTACCAAAGATCCATAAAGTCGGCATCCCTTTACGACCTATAGTCAGTACAATTGGCTCTGCCACCTATAAATTAGCAAAATATGTAACTAAACAAATTCAGCCTTACATCGGTAGGACATCATCATTCATAAGAAATTCAGAACATCTTGTGAATATGATCAAAGATATTAAACTTAACCCTAATGATATTTTGGTGAGTTTTGATGTGATTTCGCTATTCACTAAGGTTCCAGTGAGCGAGTCGCTTAAATTACTTGATACACTGGTAAAGAATACAGGTTTACCAAAAGATATTCCAAAACTCGCAGACCATTGTTTAAATAACACTTACTTCTTATGGAGAGGCGAATTCTTTAAACAAAGGGAGGGAGCAGCAATGGGCTCTCCTTTATCTCCTGCTATAGCAAATTTGTACATGGAAAACTTTGAAACCAGAGCACTTGCCTCGAGCACATTAAAACCATCCTTTTGGTTTAGATATGTGGATGACACTTTGGTTGTCTGGCCACATGGTAAAGATACACTTAACGATTTTCTAAATCATCTCAATGCACAAAACCCGGCCATTCAGTTCACCATGGAAATGGAGGTGAATAACACACTCCCGTTCCTGGATATTTTACTTGGGCATGGCCCAAACGGTAAAATAACACACAGCGTTTACAGAAAGCCAACACACACTGATGCCTATCTGAATGCAGATTCGCATCATCACCCAGCTCAGAAATCCTCTCTTATCAAGACGCTCATACATCGGGCTAAAACAGTGTCAGATGGTGAAAGTCTAGTGAGAGAGATTAAACATGTTAAAGAAGCACTAAGACAGAATGGCTACAATAATGCTCAAATTAACAGAGCACTAAAAGCCAAATCACGATCGCAAAGCAACACTGCTGAAAGCGATCAGATTATTAAAACAATAAAAATACCATTTATCTCAGGAGTAACTGATAAATTAGCCCGTGTTTTGCAAAAGCAAAACATTACAGTAAGATTTGGTACAGTACACAAAATTCAACAACTAGTAACGTGCACTAAAGACGAATTACCTAAATTATCAACAGAAGGTGTATATCGGATTAATTGTGTATGTGGCAGATGCTATATTGGACAGACAGGGCGTAACGTTAGTGTAAGACTAAAAGAACACCAGAGAAATATTAAACTATCACAAACACAACTGTCGGCAGTAGCAGAACATGCATGCCAACAGGGACACTCAATTGATTTTGACAACGTGGAAGTGTTGTGTAAAACTAGTTACTTCTGGCAAAGACTAATTAGAGAATCGATTGAAATTGAGAGAAACAGAAATAACTTTAATCGCTCAGACAGCTACAGGCTTAGTGCGGCCTGGAAGCGTATTATTAAATAAGATACATTACAATTACTTATAAGGGAAACAACCACTAACTGATTACTAATGTAGCATAATCACAATAAAACACATTCCAAATGATTACTAATCTACAACTCGCATCGTAACAATAGCCTGATTAATAATCTAGTATATAATTACAATCACTCCCCCCTTGAATCTTTGCACCTGATGAGTTAATGAGTTAATGATGACGTCATCCTGCTGCTGCTCTATATAAGAACGGGAGACACAGGAGAGCCTCACCATTCTGGCGAATTGCCCGATGATGCTGGTTGTAATTACCAGCGAAACGTCGTACTCAAATTGTGAATGTTGTTGCTTCAACACACCGGTGGGCTAAAGCAGTGAACTATTTGTCTTTGTCAACGTGACACATTTTTTACTGATTGGCCGTGTCGGGTGGTGGAGGGTTACGACCATTAAGCAATTGGTATTTAAATATAATATTTTTGTCCTAAAAAGTGTAAAATTTTGGGAAAAAAATTTCACGAACATTAATTGTCACGCACAACGAGTCTGTGTGGAAAATGTCAGCTCGATTGGATCACGGAAAGTGGGTTAATAAATGACCAAAAGATTTGCACGGTCGAAAGCAAGCAAGCGAACTTAATATAAAGAATTTAAAAGGTATTTGATCCCCTGCTGATTTTGTACGTTTGCCCACTGACAAAGAAATGATCAGTCTATAATTTTAATGGTAGGTTTATTTGAACAGTGAGAGACAGAATAACAACCAAAAAATCCAGAAAAACGCATGTTAAAAATGTTATAATTTGATTTGCATTTTAATGAGGGAAATAAGTATTTGACCCCTCTGCAAAACATGACTTAGTACTTGGTGGCAAAACCCTTGTTAGCAATCACAGAGGTCCGACGTTTCTTGTAGTTGGCCACCAGGTTTGCACACATCTCAGGAGGGATTTTGTCCCACTCCTCTTTGCAGATCTTCTCCAAGTCATTAAGGTTTCGAGGCTGATGTTTGGCAACTCGAACCTTCAGCTCCCTCCACAGATTTTCTATGGGATTAAGGTCTGGAGACTGGCTAGGCCACTCCAGGACCTTAATTTGCTTCTTCTTGAGCCACTCGTTTGTTGCCTTGGCCGTGTGTTTTGGGTCATTGTCATGCTACAATACCCATCCACGACCCATTTTCAATGCCCTGGCTGAGGGAAGGAGGATCTCACCCAAGATTTGACGGTACATGGCCCCGTCCATCGTCCCTTTGATGCGGTGAAGTTGTCCTGTCCCCTTAGCAGAAAAACACCCCCAAAGCATAATGTTTCCACCTCCATGTTTGACGGTGGGGATGGTGTTCTTGGGGTCATAGGCAGCATTCCTCCTCCTCCAAACACGGCGAGTTGAGTTGATTCCAAAGAGCTCCATTTTGGCCTCATTTGACCACAACACTTTCACCCAGTTGTCCTCTGAATCATTCAGATGTTCATTGGCAAACTTCAGACAAGCATGTATATGTGCTTTCTTGAGCAGGGAGACCTTGC